GTGATTCTGACATGTGTGCCTGTCTTTCGGATGTATGTATTTTCTGGGGAAGTCTGGTGATAGGGAACAATCATTTCAGACATGTGACTTTTGGAATGGGGAACTCAGGGATGGTTTATAGAGTGCCTTGTTTGTTCTGGTATCTTATAGAATTGATAGAAACCCAGAGGGGCAATATTGAACTTACTCTGGTCCTGCATTTGTCTTGGGATGTGGTTTTGTTGTTCAGTTATTATTAAGGAAAATATCATTTTAAAAAATCATAAGCACGCTGGGCATAGTGGCGCACACCTTTAATCCCAGTACCCAAGAGGCAGGGGTGGGTAGATCTCTGAGTCCAAGACCAGCCTGGTCTACGGAGTGAGTTCCAGGAGAGCCAGAGCTGACTAGTGAGACCCTGTCCTTAAAAAAATCAAACCAAAGCAAAGTAGGAATAAAATCACAAGCATTACATTTCTATATGAGCACAACTTGGGCAGAAATTTGAAATAACATTCTACCGGGCCATTTTTCTGCTTAATTACTTGTAGTGAATTCGCCATTGTAGTTTATAAAATTTATGTTCTTGGAATTCTGAGCCTCTTCCTAGGATTTTTTTATGCAGTCTAAATACATTGACCGGTTTCACAGAAAATGACACAGTGATATGGAAGGCCCACAAGCTGCCATGGGGCTGTTGAGACTGCCCTCCCCCATTCTTCCTTAGAGCAGATTGTAGACACGAACAAGCTGGTGGCCAGTGCATACAGTGGACCCTGTACCACCAAAGTCCACGAGTATGGTAATCCGTAGGTAAGAGATGGGACTCCCTTCTAACTCCTTTTTATTTTGTTCTTCTGATTCCGTAGCTGGAATCCTTACCTGTTTTATGCGAGGCAAATGCTCTACTACTGAACTACGTTCTCCACTCTGTAATTTTCTTTTAAAACAAAGTGGGAGCTGGGGAGATAGAGCAGTCAATAAAGTGCTTGCCTTGCAAACACAAAGACCTGGATTCAATCCCCAGAACCCACATAAAAGAAAGAAAGAAAAGAAGAAAGAAAGAGAGAAAAAAGAGCCCAGTGTGGTGTAGTTTTTTTTTTCTTGTTTCATAATCCCAATGCTGGGGGAGTAGAGGTAGGTGAAGTCCTGAGGATCTTTCCCACCAGCCTAGTCTGCTGGGCTAGCTCCAGGAAAGTAGGAGAGCCTGTCTCAAGAAACAAGGTGGGTGGCAGCTGAGAAACAATACTTGAGATGTCCTCTGTTTGCCACAGAGTGGCAGCTCCTATACACGTGTGCCCATACACACTGGAACTTGGGTGAGTTTGTTCTCAGTGAACACTCTGAATGCAACCCATGGTTACAGACTTCCTAAAGAAGAACTGAGCTGCCTCTGAGCTGAAAAATAACTGTCTTGCCAGTGTTCAATCCAAGCCCATGATGTGTGTGTGTGTGTGTGTGTGTGTGTGTGTGTGTGTGTGTGTGTCCATCTGTTCATCCAGAGGTTGCAGTACTTAAGTAGAAGCTGAAAATGAATTAGTTCAACTTCAAGGATAGTTCCTTTCTTATTTTTTATAGTCAAGGGTTTTACCAAAGAGACCTGGCTTTTCATACTTAGGAACCTGAGACTATGAACTACATGTAAGCCTCTTTTGGAGGTCAAGAATTTCACACACATGAAGTCTAGACACCCCAACCATTGAACTGAGCAAGCCCCAGGACCAGCTAGATTCATGATAAACAACAACAACAACAACAACTCCTGGATTATTTGACTCAGTATCTTTGGCACCAGGACCAACACGAGTTATTGTAATCCTCCCCACAATTTCTGAACTGTTTCACGATTTTGTCACTGACATCCAGAGAGACAGTGAATTCACTGTTCCTGGGGAGATTGTTGAGCTGGCGATGTGCTTGCCGTGTATGTATGAGGACCGGAGTTTGGTCCACAGTACCCACACACAAAGAGCCTGAGATGCCTGTGATCCCAGTGCTGGGGAAGCAGAGACAGGAAAGCCCCTGGGACTCTATGACCAGCCAGTCCAGCCAGATTGGAAGCTCCAGGTTCAGCACAAGGTTCTGTCTTAGAAATTAGTGGGGCAGGATTAAGGAAGACACTTGATGTTGACTTCGCGCCTACACATGTACATGAACACACACACAAACACACATGCACACACACTCATGCATACACACAAATACACATGCAAACACAAACACATGTGCACATATACCAACACACATGAAGACAAAACACACACAAACACACATGCACACACACTCATGCACACACACAAATACACATGCACATACACCAAGAAAACAAAAGTTTATGCCACCACTAGACCATTCTAAGCTCTGTCTATCTATCTATCTATCTATCTATCTATCTATCTATCTATCTATCTATCTATCTATCTATCTATCATCTATCTATCTATCACTCATTTATTCCTCTAGGGAGTCATGGGAGGCAAAAGTAAAGAGTTTTTGGGAATCTTTATCTGGAGACCTAAGGCTGATCTTTTTTTAAAGCCGGAGTTTGCTGTTTAATAAATAAAACTTCCACATGTCAGACTGGGAGACGTGACGTTCACCTGAGTGGATAAAACATTCATGAGAGTAGCATGGGAGGATGCTTGGGGTGCAGCTCCATTCTGTTCCTAGATGGGATTGTAAGGAGGCAGGTGTCTCAGCTCAGATGTCAGGATTTGCAACCAGGCCTGGCCTTGGGAGAAGAGGTCCAAACTCCCAGGCTTGGGGACAGGGGTCCTCATCTTCCGGTTCTTGAAGAACCTGTTGGGGTGGCAGGAAATGAACCCAGACCATTTTATGAGGAAAGGAGGAGAGAAGTGACTTGAGCTTCTGGTGCTCAGTTCTGTTTTCATTTCCCTCCTTTCTGGCCCCACATCTGAGGGGAAAGAATTATGCCCCTGGACAACTGTCAGTCCAACCAGCAAAGTATGGCTGGCCTCTAAAAAAGAGAGCTGCCGGTCTCTCTTTGTCCTAGGTTGGGAAGGCCTCCTGGTCAATAAATACATATTAATCATGCGAGAGAGAATTGATATGCAAATGAAGGGCACCATTGACAAGCCCCGGATGGCAGAGCCAGCCCCCCCCACCCCGCCCCCCCACACAGCTGTGGTCCTGCCTGGAGAAGCCAGGGCTATGCCTGGCCATTTGTTGGGTGTTTTCTAGGGGCCAAAACCTCCTTTCCAGTAAGTCTGTGAAAGAGGGAGCTGGACCTGGAGGTGACTTCAGGATCTTTTGCTTACATGCTTCTTAGCTCTGCCAGCTCTACAGATTTTTTTTTTTCAAAAATTAATTTAAGTCTGGCAGTGGCAGGCCACCCTTTTGGATCGCTGTGTCTCTCGGCCCAACTGGAAGTCTCCAAAGGTACTTTGTTCTTGTGATCAAAGAAAAGTTGAGCCAACCAGAAAAAGAGTTAAAAGCTTAGGTGCATTTTTTTTAGAGGAACGCTTGATAGTGCAGGAATAATTATTACCTGCCATTGTGAATTACTGCTTATAAAACAGCATGCTGTGTATTGTTGTGGCTTTCTATCTGGAACAGGTACCTCCAAACAACCTTGGTAGAGGCAGGACTACGCTTCAACTCAGTGTTCGGAATGCCTGACACCTGTGGGCACAAATTCTTCATATTTTAACCTACGGTGGTAAAATATGCGACTTTGGTGTTAGGGAATAGTCTGATGTTATAAAAACAAAACAGATGCGTTATGATTTGTACCCAGCAAATCATTGCAGTGAATACAGTCGCTTTATCTATCAAAATCATTGGAACATAAACTGTTTGTTAACACTGGTGATAGACCAAGATGCTGTGTAAGTTGAAATAGAAATGAAGAGTATTATTTGGGACCACAGATGACCTAGCTTCAGTGTTCTGCTTAGGGGTATGGATGGAGTTTTTAAGAGGTGGGCAACTGGATTTTCTATGCTTTAGGTTCTGAGTTCTGTCTCTGAGCTCCTATCTGGGAGACATGCATTGTAACTTTAGAACCAGACCATAAACTATTGGCTTTGGTGATACACCTTGGGCCACGAGTGTCAAAATGGACCCTGGTTTGGTAAAGACCCAGGCTGTCTGGTGTTCTGGCAAGTCAGGTCCTAGAAAAAGCTTTTGTGGATGTGCAAGCTGGGCCTGGTGGCTGTCTTCCTTTGTGGCCTCTGTCTGATCTTACCTAATGCTCTGCAGTTCAATATAGGACACTACCACACAACCTGAAGGGAACAAATAGGAATATAAATATAAGAGAAATGTCTTCTTCTGCAAGAAACAGTAACAGGGATAGTTGTGAATTAACTGTCTATGGTCACATGTGGACCCAGCCTTTTATGTATTTTGGGTTATATTAATCCTGATCAAGATACTGCCTTGCTAAAACACCCGTGTTTTCATTCTAAATCCACCGTGATGTTCTTTGATAGAGGTGTGCTGATCTCAAAACCCCACAGCCTGTTCAAAACTCAAACACAGACTCTCCTAAATTCCTTCAACCAACGTATGATGCTTAAAGCATTCTGCTAATATTCACCTAGCTTCTAGATGAATTGAGGATTACCTGGAATTGGAATGCAGCAAACCTGTTGTCTGTTGGATTTCTCTGTGCGCGTGTTTGTGTGTGCACACAGGGAAAGGGGCTGCTACTAGAGATAAATTATTTAACATGATTTTCCTGCATTGTGGAGAGGGAGGCTGAGCCTCATTTTTCGGATTATGATTTGTGTTATGAAATGCTTATCAAATGTTTTCCAAAGATTAGTTTAATTTTAATTAAATAACCCTTTCTCAAGAGGAGACTCCCAACTCTTCCTGTACCCAGAGGCTAACGTACTTGTTGTTTTTAATTATTTTGTGCTGTTACCCAAACTGCTTTGGGTACTCCTGCCCAATTAAATGAAAGGCCCAGGTTCCTTATGCACAATATGTTTAATATTTAATTTTAATTAAATTAATTAAATTGTTTATTTAATTTTATGTGCATTATTGTGCGTTGAATAATGTAAAATTCATGGGGTGGAGAGGTAAATCGGAGAGCTTCCAAACAGACTCATTACAAGGTTTCTAGGAAACTTCGCTCTCGTTTCCAGGGGAGATGTCCCAACACTGGGCAATGTGAACCGTGAACTTCTTTCTCTTCGGTGTCCTTCTGCAGTAGCTTCTGGGGTCTGTAGGTCTCCCTCACCCAGTGCGACTGGCCTTGCAGGTGTTTGCAGCTGCTTGGCAGAGGCCAGAGTGTGTGTGCATGCTGCTGTCACCGTGGAGACATTGTCTACTTTGCTAAGGACACAGCCACCGGCACAGACACTCCCAAGAAGGTCATTTTTTTTTTCTTCTAAAACACAGACAGGCCTTGGTAAAACTTCCAATAACATCTTGCCCTGTAGAAACAGCCCAAGCCAGCAAGGTTTCAGAAACCCATCCAAGGCTGAGCTTAAACACCAGTGTGTATTGTATTGTGTGTATTGGGGGGTGGGGATGGGACTTACCTTTGGCCTGGATCTCCTTTCACAAAAGTGGTCCTCGGCCTGGTTCACTCTCCGATTTTCATCGTAGTTTGCCTCTGTAGGACACAGAGCACCCAGGAATGCTTTCCTGTGCAGTGATCGGCTTACTGTCTCTCAATGGAGGGGCTTAACTCCCAGGGAACCTGTTTTCACAGAAGTGGGAGGTAGATAGATGCAAACAATAAAATAACAAAAATAGAGACCTTTCTCTAATAATACTCCTTTGCCAAAGCTCACATCTGAGTTTGTGAAACACAAGCCTGGAGTCAGAAGTTCTGAAGTGCCTGAGCTGAAGAAGGCACTAAAGCCTCTTTCCTGTTTACTGACCAGCCGGAGCAATGGCTCAGAACGGGCACTCTCAGCATGACCTGGCTCTAGGGGCGTCTGAACCAAATTTCTAAACTTGACCTGGTGGCGCAGAATGGAGCGTTCACTGAATTCCTTTTCATCTCGAGCGTTTGCTCATCTGGACCACGGCTGAGTACTTACACTCCTCCTCACTTCCACAGGTTTTGACAGAGCAGATCGTATCTTTCTGGTGCCTCTTGCTGATTGAGAAGTGTTAACTGCGTTTAAGGAACCTTGATTAACTCAGCCGCCATGGGCAAAACACAAGAGGGAGAAAAGAGAAAGGGGAAAACTGGGGAAGAAGGACAGGAGAAGGGAAAGGAGAGGGAGACAGCATTCCGAGGCTTGTCCTGGTCCTTGCCAGAGTCCTTTCACAGACCGGAGCTGCTAACATGTAAACTGCTTTCTCTTTACTCCTGTTTGTTTTTTCCCCCTAAGGCTGGTTTTGTTTCAGTAGATTAAATATTATCATAAAAGTAGCTGGTGATGCAGTAAATTAAAAATCAAGTTGTGGAATATTTTGCAAAAGCTTTTTTTTTTTTTTTTTTTTTTTTTTTTTTTTTTTTTTTTTAAACTTCTATGGCCCTTAACCAGTCACGGCAAACATTAGTTTAAATGGATTTTCCCAGACAGGACTTTCTGCTTCAAACAAGGGTTTGGAAAATTCAAAGCTGCCCAGTTAGATGGAATAGACCTAGTGAAAAAGCGACTCGGAGTTTGATTAGAGGGTAATGATTACTAGTGCTGCTTACAACAACAACAACAACAACCAAACAAAACCCAAACCCCTTGCTTTCTGTTTATTTGGCACATCTGTAAGCTTATGGGCATGTTTAGTTTTTAGTGTAAAACGTAAGGCTGGAGAGCTGGAGGAAATGTACGTGAGGACAGATGGAGCAGAATCCGGGGCCGGGCTGTGCCACCACATTTAACATCAAATTATGAATTAAACAAGAAGAATGAATAACAAATGAGGATTCACTTAAGCCTAGCTTTGTGCAGCAGGACAATGAAAATTTATTCGAATGCTATTCCTTGATGAGGCTACAGAGTCTTCCCCGGCAGAAGGTACCCATTAATACTGTGAGGACAATTATTGGAAGTTCATTTTCTGGGCACATCTTAGAAACCTTTTGATGACAGCAGAAATGTCTGTGCAGATTTAGATTTTTCTAAACCTCCCCTAGTCTACTCAGCGACTGCCCCGGGACTCCCCGTGTTGAGGTGATTTGTTGAGCTTGTCTTGGTGGGGGTTATCAAACAGGTTAAAACCGAGTTTTGGGGGGAAGGTTTTGTTTTGTGTGGGGAAATTATTGAACACTGGACTGTTTAGGACGCCTGCAACACGTCAAGGAATGGCAGGCTCCTTGCAGTCCAGCTGTTTGCTGAGAAAGACCTCACTTTGCACAGCCAAGTGCTTTTTCACAAGTACAGCTGCCCCCCCCCCCCCCAGTCACAACCTGGAAATGAGGCATTCTGGCCTGGCTAATGCCTTCCCCACATGCTGAAACGCCGGCGAAGAAAGGGAAGGTGTCTGGGACATGGACTAATGGAACGGACAAGTTTGGATATACTAGGAGCCATTTCCAGTGTCGCTGGGTGTGAGGAAACTTTTCAAGCCACAGATATAACTTACGGTATATCATCACTCTATGTGTATTGAGACAAAACAGAGAAACATAATAAAACAGACAGCAATATACAGCCTGCTTAGACCTAAGGTATTTGGGGAGACTAAACAAAACACAGTCCCACATGATGGACGGTTCATGTAGGCAGACATTATATCAGAGTGATGCTCCTCATTACAATTATTATTATTATTTACAGATAGAATTTTTGGGGAGGGGAAGAGATGGCGCATATGTGGGGGGGTGTCAGAGAATAGCTATTGGGAATCAATTCTTTCCTTCTACATGTGGATCTGGGGGTAGAGTTCAGGTTGTCAGGCTCAGTGGCAAGTACCTTTACCCACTGAGCCATCTGGCTGGCCGGTATCATCACTATTTTTAATAATAATAAATTTTTTACTTTTAAAGAGTTTCAGATTTTTGAGAAATTAAAAAGGTAGCTGTCTTATTTTTACTGTCCCCATGCAAAGGTTTGCCACCTCCTTGGTTCTTGCCTCAGGCTCCAGACAAGAGGAGTCTTTTCCAGGACGTGTGGGTTTGATCGAGCTTCCGGAACACTCTTACCTTACAAAAATCTCATAGAGAGTAAAAAAAAAAAAAATAGCCAGGGGAAGCAGCTCAGTCAAAAGAATGCTTGTCCAGCATGCACAAAGTCCTGGATTTCATCCCTGTTCTATCGTAAACTTCGTGAGATGGAGGCAGGAGGATCAGAAGTTCAAGTTTATCATCGGCCACTTAGGGATTTCAAGGACATCCTGAGGACATATGAGATCATGTCTCACAAAGAGAGAGAGAGAAGAGAGAACATGAAATGAAATAAAATAGTAGTTAAATATATTCAACTAGTACGTTGTAAAATTAAAAAAGAAAAAGCCCAGTTTGGTCACAGAATGGGTTTTGCATTTTTTTAAAAGTTTAGGCAGCTGGTTTCTCACCTCTCTCTTGCTCCTCCTGGCCTGTTTGCTTTTCTCCAAAATGAGCAGTAACTACAGAATTGAGTGCTACCGTGCTCTGTGTGCTTGTGACACCTTTGAGATTTTCATAAAAACTGGGGCAAAAATCCGGAGCCTGCTTTCCTTCCCCCACCTTGGGCCCTTCCCCGCCTCGTCCTTGGAAGATTCACTGGGCTCCAAGGCCAGCCTGGTGCCCTCCGCAGACATTCCGTTCTGTGCCCTTGAGCGGTAGGCAGCTAATTTCCTGCGTTTGGTTTCATTTCAAAATGGGCTTCGTTTTGAGCAGTTGGGGGCTAGGGAGGTAGAGGGGAAGGAGGAAAACCGTCTTGGAAATACATCACCCTAAGCAAAACCGTTTGGCAGAGGTCTTCAAGGATGGCCGACCCCCTCCTCAGGCTGCCTCTGCCCTACCTGCCCAGGCCCAACATGCTAATTATGTTCAGGCCAAAGGCGGCAGGCGGCACGGGCCTGGCTGCGGTCCAGAGGATATTTTATTTTATTTACAGATGAGCTGTTCCCCCTGAAATCTCGATTGTTCTGGAAGCTGGGACCGAAGGCAAGCCGGCCTCCATTTTCAGCAGCTCCGGCTCAGACCTGGAGCAGGACTTGCCTTCATTAGCTGTATCACAAGCCGGCAGGCCTGGAGAAGGGGCCGCCCAGTGTCCTAAAGCCTGCTTCCAGACTTTTCCATCAGCGGGGATGCCGTACACCTTCGCAGAGCCCTGACAGAGTCGACTACAGACTCCCATGTCCCCTGGTGCTCCCCAGGTGGGACTCAGAAGTTCACACCTGGGTTTGTATCCAGCTCCATCCCTCCATCCCTTCCTCAAGCAATGGCAGCCCTTATCCCTGCCTACTAAAATTGCATGGACTTTCTTTTAAAAATCTTTTTTTTTTTTTTTTTTTGTTTTTTTTGTTTTTGTTTTTTTCGAGACAGAGTTTTCCCGTGTAGTTTTGGAGCCTGTCCTGGAACTTGCTCTGTACACCAAGCCTGGCCTCGAATTGCCTCTGCCTCCTGAGTGCTGGGATTAAAGGCATGCGGCGCCGCCGCCGCTGCCGCAGCCACCACAGCCACCACAGCCACCACCCAGCATAAAAATCCTTTATTTTTTAACATTTACTTATTATTTATTTGTGCGTGTGAGTGCTCTTTTGCATGTGCATACCAAGGCACACAGGTAGAAGTCCGAGGAAAATTAAGAGTCGGCTCTCTCAACCACGAGTGTCCTGAGGCTCGAGCTCAGGTCCTCAGGCTTGGTGGCCTGTGCCTTTACTCGTGGAGTTATCCTGTTGCCCCCGAAACTATTTTAAGAGTTAGTTTACAAAGAGGCTGGGGCTCAGTGTGTGAAGTTCTAGCCATTCAAGCATGAGGACCCACATACAAAACCAAGGGTCTCCCGCCCTCAGTGCTGGGGAGCACAGTGTCAGTGAAGAGTCACTGGCCAGCCTATCAGGCTGAATCCATGAGCTCCGCCATCCACTGGAGAGCCTGTCTCGAAGAAAAAAAAATAAAGTGGAGAGTCACTGAGAAAAACTTCTTTGACCTCTGGGCCTCCACATACACATATGTGCACACACATTAACATGAACAAATACATATAGCACGCACACACACACACATACACACACACACACACACACACACACATACATGCTCTCCATAGAGTTCACACACATGCCCTCCTCCTCCGAACACACGAAAAGGGTCTTGTTATTTTATGTTTGAACCTCACTTTGGCTCAAAACACCATTTCCCAGCCTGTGACCATTCACCTTACTCATCATACTTGGCTCAGTACCTTTCGGCTCTTTCCCAGGCTTGCATCCTGGAACTTGCTCTGTCATCCTGGCTTTTCAGAAGGGTTCACAGGCTTCCAGGAGAGTTGTGAAGGAGTGGTCAGGGCAGAGGAAGGAAAATAAACCTACAACTCCCAGGGTGTCTCACTGGGAGGGGACAAAAAACATTGGGGCCTGAGAGTTTTGGGCGGAAGTTGCATTCAGGAAACATTGCCACCAGACCTGACACACGCCATCCCACCCACCCCGAGAACTAGCTCCAGTGGGCGCTGGTGAGCTGCTGAACACTTTGGAGTGGATGTCTGTTTGAATCTCAAGGCCTGTAGGGCAGGCTTATGGGACTCAAAAGAAGCCTCCCTTTTAAGGCTGGTAGAGATGAGGGAACCAACCAAAAAAGCTTATAGCTTTTTATGCTTTGTACCCAAGTCTTTCCTCTTTTTTTTTTCTTACCCCCCCCCCCCCTTGAGACAGCATTTCACACAGCCCAGGCTGTCTGGAACTCACACAGTTGAGGATGACACTGTACCTCTGACCCTCCCTAGTGCTGAGATCACAGGCGTGCACCACCATGCCTGGTTTATTTTGTTCCGGAGGTGGAACCCAGGGCCCTGTGCAGGACTGGCAAGCTCTCTACCAACGGATCCACATCTCGAGGACAAATGGGGACTCTGGATGGAGGGAGGCAGTCAGGAGGGCAGTAAAATACTTCCCAGCAGGCCTCAGTGAGCAAGGGCAAACCAGGAGCTCCCGGGACGATTTCGGGAAGAAAAGTGTGACTTTTGACATTTGAAAGATGGTGTTTAGGGGCTGCAGAGATGGCCCAGTTGGTAAAGTGTTTGCTCTGAGTCTGGACCCCCACCCCAGCACCCATGTGAAAGTGAGAGTGTGGCGGTGAATGCCTGTAAGACCAGCACTGGGAAGGAAGAGAGAGGCAGAAGGATCCCTGAGACCAGCTAGCCAGAAAAACCTATCTCAAAAGCAAGATGGAGAGCAATAGAGGAAGATATTTGAAGTCACATGTACATGCAAATGTATGTATGCACACATGCATGAGCACATGAATGCTCGAGAACACACACACACACACACACACAGGGCGGGGGTCAGTTTTCTTCAGAATCACATGGGAAAAACAGTTCACTAGGACTTCTCATTACACACATTGTTGGCTTTGCTGGTCAGTTTTGTTTTATTTTGAGTTATGTTTTGTGGCTCTCTTCCCTGTACAGTGCTTAATATGGCTCTGCTATAGTTAGAAGGCAGGTACTCCCCCTCCCCCTGCTCCCCACTCCCGCCTGCTTGAAATAGAACCCAGTGTCTTGTATGTGCTCACTCTACCACTGAGCTCTACCCCCAGGCCCTCTATTATCTTTTTGGGGAAAACAATGTTTCAGAGAAGGGCTAGGTATGGATGCTCGGTGCTCTCAAAGAAGGGAGTCCATGGAGTTGGACAGTACAGATGAAGAGAGCTATTTGTGAGGTTTGGGACAAGTTTTACCTCTGCTGTGATAAAACACCCCAACTGAAGTGAATTAGCGAGGCAGAGGTTTACTCAGCTCTCAGCTCCAGGTTACAGTCCATCTGTGGGGAAGTCAAGACAGGAAGTCAAACCGCTAGTCACAGCACATCTGCAGTGAAGCACAAAGAACAGACATGTCCTTGCTTCCTGCTGGTTTCTGCTTTGCCTAGCTTTCTCTAGTCCTAGGCAACCTAGGATTCCCAGACTAGGGGCTGGTGCCACCCCCAGTGAGTTGTGTCTCCATTCATCAGTTAATACCCACCCTGACATGCCCATAAGGGTAACCTGATCTGAATAATCCCACAACTGAAACACTTTCCAGGTAATTCTAGATTGTAGCAAGTTGACATTTTAAACTGATCACCAAAGAAGGGTACATCTGCTGGGACAACTTCTGGCAATCCTAACCACCAGGCCTAGGAAAACAGGCATGGATCATCACATGGGGGTCTGAAGGCTGGGGTCCAGTCCCATCTCCAGCTTTGTGACCTTGGGTTGGACTATTGCCATCTCCAGGTAGGAGTCTACTAAATTGGGTTGACTGGGCATTCTCTAATGTAATTGGGATTCTGGTTCTGGGGATCAAAGACTCCATGATGAGTTTTAGCGTCAGTTCTCACCTCACCAAAGACACCCTGGCCAGCCACAGGATGTTTCCTTGTCCTGGGGTGGAGATGCAACAGACTGCCCATAAGCACTTTATGCTGCTTAGAAGATCTGGCTGTCAGTCCCATGCATCTTTGATTAATACAAATGGGAAAATGAATTTATTATTATGCAATGAATATTTATAAGGTAAATAGCATTTATCAGATACCAGGCATATTGTTGGTCTTCAGTAAATGGGAGTCATTATTAGCACTGATATTATTATAGATAGTCTGGTTGGCCAACGTTTTCAGAAACACAAGCCAGAGCAGCATCGTTGCCTCATTGATGGAGAAACAGTGGGTGTCCTCTGCCTTTCCAAGTCCTCCCAGGAAGTGTGGTTTCAGGCTCCTGGCTTCCAAGGCAGGGTGAAAGGTGTGGAATACTCATGGTGACTTCTGGTTGGTCCCTCTACTGGCTTCTCTTTAGCTCCTAAGCAAGCTCTAGCTACCACATGAGTTGGGCAGGGTCCTGGGGACCTGAGAGTAGAGTGACGCCTTGATGGAGGCGGGCTTGGGGTGAAAGAGCAAGGCTTGGGGTGAAAGAGCGAGGCTTGGGGTGAAAGAGCCAGGCTTGGGGTGAAAGAGCGAAGCTTGGCGGAACGGGCTGCGCCCAGCTGGGGGGTGCACAGGAAGGAAAGAGGGACAGTTGGAGTGGTGGCTCTGGACTGACAGCGCGCTGAGCTCCTGGGGGTGTCAGGCTAGGAGAGGTTTAACCTTCCGCCAGCCGCTCCAGCTGGGCAGCAGGTGCTAAGCCCCTTTTCACTTCCAGGCCTCCAGCTACAGATTCCTCTCTGCCCACAACTGCTAAGGCCTGCTTCCTTACTTTCCCTCACAGACAGCAGTCAGACCAAGGAAAAACCCAGAAGTCTGCTTGATTATCCCCTCTGCCTCTGTTGTGTCTTCCTTCCCTCCCCCTCCCCCCCTCTGCAGTACAGTGTTCCTCTGTCTGCCTGTCTGCCTGTCTGCCTGCCTCTCCCTCTCCCCCCTCTCTCTCTTACAGTGTTTTTCTCTCTCTGTCTCTGTCTCTCTCTCTGTGTGTGCATGTGTATGTGTACATCCATGGAGGCCTTTGATATCATTCCTCAGGAGTCATCCACCTTCTTTTTTTGTGACAAGGTCTCTCACTGAACCTGGAACTCACCAATCAGGCAACTGACTGACCAGAGATAAAAGCAGCCACCATTACCTGGCTTCTTTATATAGGTGCTGGGGATCAACCTCGGGAAGATGCTGGTCCATCAAGAACATAGCCAACCAAACTCCTTCCCCAGTGCCCCCTTTTCATCAATATTTGATATTAAAAACTACCAGTTAAGCAATCATTAAAATTTAATTTAAAAAAGATCACCCACCGTGTTAGTCAAACCACATTGCCATTGAACTGACAATGCCTCTTCTTCTTCTCCTGGGTCCTGTTTGCTGGCTTGAAAATGCAGATGCCATACAGTCTTGGAACTTCTGTTTACCCTGACCTTGATCCTAGAGCATCATGCTCTGCATTGTCTTCGTGTGCTCAAAAGCATGAGTGGCCACTGTCATACTCCCATATTGAGGGTGCCCTGTGGCATGACAGGTTCCCCATTATGGTTGTGTGTCCCAGTTCCTTCCTCATGCTAGATCTGGTCACTGAAGGGTCTGGAGATGGGCTAGGTCTGGGGGATGCAGAGGAAGAAGAATCTAGACACATTTGAGCCGGAGGGGCCTGGGCACCGGGCAGGTGGCTAGCTAAGGGCTGGGCACCTTTGAACTCTAAAAGTGTGTCTGTTAGAGAGTCACCTTGTGAGGGTAGTGTCCCATATGGTTTTTAGGATTTTGATAGAAGTCTGTTGCTGATGTTGGAAAACTCTAAACCTCCTGAATCTCAAAACTGTCATCTGTGAAATGGGGTGCTCATACTTAGTTCTTGAAATTAGTATGAGATTAACTGAGATAATGTTTTAAAAGTGTACAGAATAGTCAGTAGATATTGGCTTTCTATTGTGCCTGCTCTGAATGCTTGAAGACGTTCTTATATTTTTATTTTATTATGATTTTTAAAGTTATGAGAGTATGTGCACATGAGCGCAGGAGCCTGCAGAGGTCAGAAGAGAGTATCAGATCCCCTGGGGCTGGAATTGCAGGGGGTTGTGAATGGCCTGAAGTCAGTGCTGGGAACTGAAGCTTAGGTTCTTTGCTGATCCATGTCTCCAGTCCAGTGATCTTTGCTGTTGTTGTTTGCTTTGTTTTGTTTTGAGATAGTGTCTCATGTAGCCCAGGCTGGTCCCAAACTTTATGTAGGTGAGAATGGGCACCAACTTCTGATCCTATGCGATACTGGGATTACAAGTATGCACCTGGTTTATGCAGTGCTAAGGATGAAAACCAGGGTCCCTGAATGCCAAGCAAGCACTCTAAAGATGACATCTCATATATGTGGATGACAGTATCTTGCCAAGTTACTCAAGCCTTGAACCAAGAGTCCCTTACCTCAGCCTCATGAAGTCTAGGATTACAGACCTGTGCCACAGGTCAGGCTGCAGGCAAGCTTCAGGTCCCCATATAACACTATTACATATATGTACCATTATATATATGAACTTAGCTCTCCAAATCCAGAAGAACACAGAGTTGAACATATTTGTGGGCAATAGCATGAATCCCTGTCTCACTGATTGAGTTCTCACCCAAACTTCGGTCACAGAGGCTGAGGGATTGTAGATGTGGATGAGAATGCCATGCAGTGAGCACACTAGATCTGAAAGCACAGAGAACATCTGGAAGTGTGCTGGCAGGTGCGGCTCTACACGGCTGATTTAATGGTTCAATCAGCTTCAGGGACATGCATCCAAAACCATTCAGAGCCAGGAAGAAAGACAGCAGGGTTCAGTACAGGGAGACCCTTGGGGAGTGGGGTGGTGTTGTTGTTGGAGGTAGATCTGAACTGTTGAGACATCTGGACACTTGACCTCTAATGTGGAAGTCAGGGATCTCTCTCTAGTTTATCTCTCTCA